CAGCCACTTTTGGGGATGTGATCATCAAAATTCATGGACGGATTTATCAGCTATCAGTTCATCTTCAAGCAGCCATCTTTTGTAAGAATTTATGTTAATGAATGTAACCTTAAAAAAAAAACAAAAATAAATGTAGAGAGTCAATATCGTGATGTTCTAAATTTGGTTTGTCATGTTCTTATTTGAAGAAAAACCCCTCCTTTTTCTTTGGGTATCAAATTAATTGTTTAATGTCACATATTTTAATACAATGTTATATCATATGTTATGAAAAAATAGGTTCATGGGTAATATCTTTATCATTAAGGTTTCGATAGGAACCGATAAAGTTTGGTTTCATCAATATCCTTAAACTTTCAAAAACTTCGAACCAACAATGGATGATATGAAACTAATTGGTAAATGGGAAAGATAAAAAAAAGGTCCCTTAAGTTGTGGTGAATGCTTTTGCTTTTTTAGTCTTTAAGGGTGGTTCCCATATAACAATATTGATGGGTAAAGAAAATAAGTCTCCTTTTACCCCACTTTTTCATCATCAATTTTACAGCTTTACCCTTAAGAAATAAGAATCTGGCAATGGTTCTTGAGAGTAAGAGGATTTAGTAAGCATTTTATTTATAATATAAACTCTTTTAAGTTGGTTACAAAATCTTTGTATTGGGTTATTTTGATGCGAGAGATGTCTATCGGGTAAACCTTTTTCGTCGCTTATTTCAATCGTCATCTTTGCAAAAATTTCATGTATTTTTGTAGAGATTGAAGTTCCTTTAAGTGTATACATACACATACCTACCCACATAATATTCATTTGAAAGAACTTTTAATTAACAATTTATATCTTTTAAAATAATTTATATTAAATAATATAAAAACATCTTAATATATCCATATTTTATAAATAAAAATATAATATAATATTCACCGTAATTTCTAAAATATAAAATTTCAAATTATCAATGTCCTTAAAAAAAATATATATATAAAAGAATGGTAGGATGAGGATTTGGGAGAGGTCCTGTTGGAGACGGAAATATAATATTATCCCCAATACCATTTAATCTAACGGAAAAAAATCTCCTTATTTCGTCTCTCATTTTCGTTTAAACAAAGATTTTTCAGCTTATTTAAAATGAATTTCTGCAAGACTTCGATCAAACAAGTTAAATGAACATTTATATATATATATAAAATAAAAGTGTAGGATGAAATTAAAGGTACTTGATTACCAAAAAGAACACAAATAAAAGTAGCCTCCCTCAGTTAAGTTTAATTAGGAGATTTATTAATGGTTAGTTATTCCATTATATACTCTAATGAATGCATGGTCATATATATATATATATATATATATAAAAGAGAGTAAGGTTTTTGATATGGGGGGTTTTGGGAGGGAGTTGGAAGGGGTGTTCCAAAGAGCAGAAAAAAAAAGAAAAGAAGAAAAGGTGGGAAGACAAAGGAAGGGAATAAAGTGGGAAAGTAAAAGAAGGTAAAGAGAAGGGAGGGTGGCAGAATATAGAAGAGGAGAGTGTGTGTATAGAAATGGGTGACAGCCAAAACTAAGGAAAGCACGCAGACTCAAACTGCACACACCACCCCCAATCAACCCCAATTATGGCACAGAATTTTATGTGCTTTTCTCCACTTTCAAACTGCCCATGAACATGTAGACTAGCTTTTCTTCCATGTGTATAATGAGAGAAAGAAACTAACCCATTAATGGAAACCCAAGCTTGGTTACAAATATGAACTCATATTTCCATAATGGTATGAAGCATAAACTATAACCCTTACTTGTAAACCTATAAACATCATCTTAATTAGCCAATACTGAGAGGCCTCTTCTAAGAGGTATGAAGTCCTCTTAATGAGCTAATGTGGGACTCCATCCCAACAATCCTCGACAAACTTCCTACGTTGAGAATTGTGGAAGGTGGTGGCAGCAACTGGGGTGTCAGAGTTTGAGACCGAGACAAAGATTGTGACTTAGCCTCTTTCTACTGCTATGTAAACCTGTTTATTTGGTCGAGCAATTGTGCTGCTTTCCACTTACCTCTGTCTGTGACATATTATGCCAAATCTATTAGCAAACTAGTCACTCCGGGCTTCTTTGCTTCCACGAGATGTCGCTTGTCTCCTGCACAAAGATTCACCAAAACTGCAGCTGCATTCTCCCTCTTCCTAGGGGATCCTGTTGCAATGAAATCGACTAAAACGGGGACGTCCTTCAGAATTGCTGGCCAGTATGGCTAAAATTTCCAGGGCCTCATCTATCATCTCTATTCTAGATTCTGTCAACAGCTGCATCAGTGTGGAAACAATGTGGGACTCCTGACTGCCTTTACCTTCTCCCCTTGGTAGTAGAAACACAAGTTGAAAAGAGCAGTTGCAGCATCCTTCTTCCCCCTTTGAGTAGCATCATTGAGCAGAGTAATACGTGGCGGATGTTAGGAATCACGACTCTCCAAAATAGTATGATATTGTCCACTTTGAGCGTAAGCTCTCATGGCTTTGCTTTGGGCTTCCCCAAAAGGCTTCATACCAATCGAGATAGTATTCCCCACTTATAAACCCATGATCTTCCACTAAATTAACCAATGTGGGACACACTCCCAATAATCCTCAAGAGCAGAATGGCTCACGATGCACCAATTATTGTTTTATATTCGTCGACAACAGAAAGGCTGAAAAGAGTGGCTGCAGCATTTTCACGTTCTTCCATACTCCCCGACTTCAGCTCATGGACTATGCCAGGTGCTGTCCTGCAGGACATGATACTTCTCTTATTATTGTCACAGCCTGTTCTTGAGTGAGGAGGTTCGTTGTTGAAAGGAGGCCAACAAGGGGAGGGATTGCACCAGCTTCAGCAAAGGCCCCACACGATTTCTTCAATAGAATTGACATTTTCTCAAATTTCTCCCCTGGATCTCCATTGCTAGCTGAAACGGTTCCATGTAAAGCGAGAGACTCTCGAGTAAGATCAGCTATATCCATTAGCTCCAACTTCTCAGCCAATCCCATAAAGACAGAAGGTTCAGTACAGACGCTTTGCTGTTGTTATAGAGAGAGTGGTGGTTAACATACAGCACGGCATCTTGTGTATCAAACCTTCCTTTAGCTCTTTTGAATTGAGAGAGAACAACCTCAACCTGGACTCGGGAAGACTTAGATATGCAAACAACGGTATAAAACATTAATAGCTTATTCAAACCTCAGAATACTTTAAACTATCAGGTCTCTTGATAGAAAGTCTGAAGCTATACCCTAATACCCTAATTCTTTACCTTCTACTTCCATGGCACAGAATTCAATCGATAAAGATTTCTAAGTTATAATCTTTCAACAGTCGAGAGCAGCTAGAAAACCATTTCAAAGATATTAAGAACAAAAAGCGCAATGATAAAATCCTTTACCTGCTCCTTAACTTCATCAGATATATCAAGATCTTCATGTGAAATTTCATTCAGAGCTTTCTCTAGTCTTGCTGTCATCCTGTGAAATTGATTCAAATTTTGCTCTTTCTCCAAGGCCTGAAGTTCGAATAAAAAAAAAAGATTAGAACAAAAACAATATATAGAGCATAAAAAGAGAAATAATCTGATCGGCTGCCGAGATTTGTCTCACATTCATTTTCCCAATCCAAAATCATGATGATCAATTGAGAATAAAGGCAGAAATTTAGACAGAACCTAATTCATATCATCACACAAAACAAAATTCCAAGTTTAGATTACATACGAGTAAAATCTAGAGAAATCGTGAATCACATTGTAATCGGCATCATACGTAAACTAATACAAGGTGCAAGTACGAGATAACAGCTGCAATGCGAATGTCGTCTAATCGAATTGAAGGCGTCAGCAAAGTGTGTTGAACCGGAGGATGTCCATCGAAACATTGTTTATAGCCTAAGCAAAATGTTTTGTTGCGGATACAAATGGAAGCGAAAGTAGGCTCTGAAAATCACAATAGCCGATAATCTGCGATAATTTTTTTTTTAATTTTCCACTTTGCCAAATAGACATCCGAAACAATTAAAGATTCAACACGGAATCGGAACGAAATTCATCAATTCACAACATTGCAAGGCAGAACAGACAGCGTTTAAACAGAAAGCACACAAACAATGGAGTAAACGCACCAGACAAATCTAGCTCCCCTCGCTCCCAAGTCTAAGCAACTCCTTGGTCGAATCCAGAGCTTCCTTAAACGACGCGAGAGCTCTCACGGTATCATTCGGCAGCGCCTGATTCATATCCCACATTGAAAATTGTTATAAAACAAAAAAAATTATTTGCCATATTAAACGGAGAATTTATAGATTAATTTACTGTCTTCTTTATCCCTCTTACATTAACTTAATTACAACCGTACCCTTTATTTAAAATTAAGTTTTTTTTTTAAATGAAATATTAAAATAAAATTTTCCTTGCTTTTACTAGAATAAATAAAAGTTCGTATTATGAGTATTATTTTAAATTTATTTCATTATTTTGAAATTTATAATCATAGATTGAATAATATAATTTACACTTAATTTATTTCATTAATTAAATAATGCTATGTCTTAGAAATAAAATGAATAAAAGGTGACTTGGATAGCTTTGGTGGATATTTTTGGCTAATTTTTTTTTTACCAATTTACCCTTCTAGTTAAGTTTCTCACACCACATTCATGATTTTATTTTAATTTATTTGGTTCCCTAATTAATTGTGCAATTAATTATATAACAATAATATAATTAAGAATAATATATTATATTCCAATTTATGCAAACGTTACGTTTAATTATTATCCAAAATTCACATTTTTTGAGTTTATTTATTTAATTATTTTCTCAATATAGCGTAGGGTGCAGATCGGTAAATGTACCATGTTTTTGGGCGTCTACCTGCTTGAAGCTTAGTGGGCTAATGGGCCGATAATAATGGGCCAAAATGCGATGTAAAGCCCAAATTGTCCTTCTTCCTCGGGCGGCATCGGCTATCTTCTCTCAGCGAATCACAATCAAGTGCAAAGAATTTTTGATTTGAAAACAAATGGTTGAATTACTTGATCGGAAGAAATCGGCGAATTGGCCGGAGCTGATCGGCCGTTGTGTAGTCTCTTTCATACTTGTTTTACTAACTCAATGCAGTCAATTTCTCGTTCCTCAGTTCTTCTTCGATTTGCCCGTGTTCATTCAACTTCTACTTTCAGGTATTTCTCTATTTCTTGCGTTCTTCCTTGAAGCTGATTTGATTGTTGCCATTCACTGAGAGGTTGTCTTGATATTGCAGCTCTATTACTTCTAGCTGTTGTAGGGGTAGTAGGATGGTGCAGGCGGCTTCTTCGAGTTCGAGCGTCAGCTCCGGCGTTCGTTTTCTGCAGTGTACTTTTTGTTTGGGTGGTTTACATAGCTATTGTTCGACAAGGTTCTTTTCTCAAGATTCTATTTGCTTCTTGTGTTTCTACTTCAGAACTTGATTGATCTGAATGTTGGAAGACGTAAAACTTTGGAATAACGTGATAGTTTACTAGTAAATTTGAGCTGAAATGTCATTTTAGGAGTACAAGCTGCTATTTAGATTCGAAGACTAACGAATAATTAGTGTTCAATTTATTTTTTCCTATTCGACTGGCGGGAATTTAGTTGGCTTCCCCACTTTCTAATTGCGTTTTCTTCAATTGGATTTGAGGGATGAGAGTTTACCCTCCTTCTACTCTCCCGCCAATGTATTTGAATTTGCACGAAAAAAGTGTTAGACGAACACGACTCTCCACAATGATATGATATTGTCTACTTTGAGATAAACTCTCATGGCTTTGCTTTGGGATTCCTCAAAAGGCCTCATAACAATGGAGTTAGTATTTCTCACTTATAAACCCAGGATCATTCCCTAAATTAGCTTTGCTTTGGGATTCCCCAAAAGGCCTCATAACAATGGAGTTAGTATTCCTCACTTATAAACCCATGATCATTCCCTAAATTAGCCGATGTGGGACTTTCATCATCCAACACCTCCCCTCGAACAAAGCACGCCTCCCCTTAATCGAGGCTCGACTCCTTTGGAGTCTTATACCAATGGAGTTAGTATTTCTCACTTATAAACCCATGATCATTCCCTAAATTAGCCGATGTGGGACTTTCATCATCCAACACCTCCCCTCGAACAAAGCACGCCTCCCCTTAATCGAGGCTCGACTCCTTTGGAGTCTTATACCAATGGAGTTAGTATTTCTCACTTATAAACCCATGATCATTCCCTAAATTAGCCGATGTGGGACTTTCATCATCCAACACCTCCCCTCGAACAAAGCACGCCTCCCCTTAATCGAGGCTCGACTCCTTTGGAGTCTTATACCAATGGAGTTAGTATTCCTCACTTATAAACCCATGATCATTCCCTAAATTAGCCGATGTGGGACTTTCATCATCCAACAAAAAGAAATATAACAGAGCTATCTATTCTGCGTAGTCTAAATAACAATACCTTGTGTGCTTTGCAGCTGCTACACATTTGATGGATCTTCTGTTTAATGGGCAGATAATCTTGCTCATTTTTGGCCTTTGTAGGTCTGTTTCCCAACTTTTCTGTTGATTCTTCAGAATTCCTTTTCTCCATAACTAACGGAGGCAAGGTTTTGTAGTTGATTTTTTTTCATATTTCGCGGGAAATATCTTATGTTATTACCTCATGATGCCTGCTTGTCTGGTGTTCTATTTCTTATTCTAACAGACAGGTTTATAATGGCAGGATGTTATCCAGTGATCCTGGTTTGGTATCATATAGTCCATCCCCTTCGGATTTAATTGCCCAAAGTTCAAGTTCAGAAATTGACACTTACCATCAGGTTGAAATTTAATTGAGCTTATTATGTTACAGTGTCTTGAAATATCAACGAGTAGTCCTTATCTCAGGCGTTCAACTGAAGCAGTAGATTCTCTCCCTCTCTCTCTCTCTCTCTCTCTCTCTCTCTCTCATGTTTAGGAAAATAACAAATATTTTGCCATCATACAAAATTTCATATTACCTGCCCATCTTGTTTCTGTTTTTGTGTTTGTTTTAAGTGATTCCTGATTAGAACTTTGCGAAATTTATCCTGTTCTTAACCTTTAACTTGAATATTATCCAACGTTTCCTGCATCAAGGCCATGTTAAGTATAATGGGTATTGCTTAAGTTGTAGGTACTTCTGTTACCATGGAAGTTCTTGTTCTTTTCTTTCAGTAATTGACTGATATAACTTTTGGTTAATGTTCTTCTTCCAAGGATACTGAATTGGGTGATAGGGTGAGATGCTGTCAGATCTGCAAAGCATATGTTAAAGGCTTTGACCACCATTGTCCTGCATTTGGAAACTGTATTGGTAAATAGTACATGATGGCAATGATGGAGATTTAGTTAAATCTTTTATAGGAAAAACTGTTATTTAATTTATCTACTTAGGTTAGCATCGTCTCATTTTGTAATTTCAAGTCAATTAGAATCTTCACTTGGGCTGAAATAGCGTAACTTGCTTGTGATTGTAGTGCAGGGCATAAAAATTATCTCCTCTTCATGGTTCTACTAATTGGATTTCTCTGGACTGAAGCAACTTACTTGGTGTGTTTATCTCAATGTAAGTCTATCTTTAGCTGAACCCATCTTAAGTTTCATCGTACAGTACTTAACCGATTTTTCAGATGCAGCGCAGTTTGTGGTTCCTGATGGCGATGGAACTAGGCTAGAGGTGTGCCTCTGCATACTTTTCCTTGGTCGCTGTCGCGATTTGTATTATAATCCATATGAGTTGTTTAGAACCTGCGCCACTGCTGCTAACACCGTTTGAATCAATTGTTCAGATTAGTCTCTCAAGGAAAGTGGCCAGCAGCACCATGCTATTCTCCATTCTACAATTAGTATGGCAGGTGTATTTCTTTCGCTTATTTGTATTGCATATAGGAGGCTTAATTCCAGTTGACACAGGACATTAAGAATCCAAAACCTGTCAAGATTTTGTTTTACTTGAAATGTGATAGATCTTTTACAACTTTTAGGTGCTGTTCTTACTGTGGCACATGTATTGTATCTGCTTCAATATCAGAACAGATGAATGGGTAAGTTCCTAACTGCTATGGGGCACTAAACTTTTTACGATCTCGTCTTGCTTTGTTAAAATTTTTCCTTTTAGTGATTCGTTCAATTCACCTCATGAATCACCTCCATTTCAGATTCACTGGAAGAGGTACCCGGAATTTCAAATTTTTATCCAGTCTTCGCATGGTAAGAATACCTTGCAAAAATATTCTCTACGACTTTAATCATGGGAATATATATATGTTTATACAACTAGTTGCAACTCGGTGGTCTGCAGGTGAAAAGTCCAGTGAAGTGAGGTTCAAAAACCCTTATGACAAAGGAGTTTTACAGAATTTGAAGGAGTTTATGGCGTCAAAACGTTGAGACTAGTGTTTGAGTATTGATCTTGGCATTCTTCGGCAATGAGTTTTTACTGGTTTCAATAATTATCCATGCTCTTAACTTGTATATTTTTTAACACAACAAATGTGGAGTGGATGAGTGAGCCTTTAACCTCTAAAAATATTATAGGTGCCTTTAATGACTATGCTCTAACGGACTCGAATCTTGTATATTCTTAAAATATATGTATAGGAAAGGAAATATTGATCATATTTTGCTCTGTACTTGCTCATAACCACTCTAATCAGTTCCAAACTTTGTAGTTTGATTAGCCTAGACCCAGCTTCGAAATCAAAGGAGCAACTTTCTATCTCACACTAACAAAGGAAATCAAATTGACTGAAGTATCCAGGTTAATTCACCTCTCTCCTTGTTTATTCTCTTATAGTTTTTGTTATTTGGTATCTATGTATTGAGATGACCTGCATAAGAAAATGAAGAATATACGTTATCTTTTCAGATTAGTGGTCTGAGAAATAGATTAGGGGAGTCATACAATATCTAAGGGGGGTGGAAATGGGCAATTAGGATAGAGATTAGGGAGTGGGTTGGTGATAGCCCAAGCCCACTGCTAATAGATATTATTCGCTTTGACCCGTTATGTATCGCTGTCAGCCTCACGGTTTTAAAACGCGTCTACTAGGGAGGTTTCCACAACCTTATAAGAAATGTTTCGTTCCCCTCTGCAACCGATGTGGGAGCTCACAATCTACTCCCGTTTGGGGGCCTAGCGTCTTCGCTAGCACATCGCCCAATATCTAGTTTTGATATCATTTGTAAGAGTCCAAGCCCATCACTAGTAGATATTGTCTGATTTGGCCTGTTATGTATTGTCGTTTGCCTCACGGTTTTAAACGCGTCTACTAGGGAGAGGTTTTCACACTCTTATAAGTAATGTTTCACTCCCCTCTTCAACCGATGTGGGATCTCACATAACTAATTGTGTTAGAGAGTAATAGTATGAGATTAACAAAATATTTAGGGGGCTAAGTATGCGATTACAAGGAGATCAGGAAAAGAAAAAGATATAGCAGACAAAAATGATGATAACATAATGTTATTTCTCAAGAACACAGTAAAAAGTTGGATACTTTAAGAGAGTTAAAAATTAAAAGAGACATTGTGTTTGCTTTACTTAGACCTCATTATCAAATGTTTATTATCTCTCTTAATCAATGTTTGCTTTACTTAAACCTCATTATCAGGCTCTATAATCTCCTCCAATTTATAGATGGAGGGAGAGAAGACTTTGGGTGTTGGAAGTAGGGAAGGGAATCAGAAAAATTAAATGCCATCATTAAGAGAAAAAACGAATTTTATAGGCTCTAGACTTGTTTCCTTACTCCGCTATATTCATATATTTTGAGCTAAATTGTGAGATCCCACCTCGGTTGAAGAGAGCAGCGAACCATTTTTTATAAGAGTGTAGAAACCTTATCTGTAGTAGACACGTTTTAAAACTGTAAGATTGATAGCGATACGTAACGTGACAAAGTGGATAATATTTGTTAGTGGTGGGTTTGAGTTGTTATAAATGATATCAGAGCTAGACACCGATCGATGTGTCAACGAGGACACTGAGTCCTTGGAGTAGATTGTGAGATACCACATCACTTGGAGAGAGGAATAAATCATTCCTTATAAAGGTGTGGAAATCTCTCTCTATTAGATGTGATTTAAAATCATGAGACTGATGACAATATGTAATGGGTCAAAACAGACAATAAGATTGTGAGATACCACACCAGTTGGAGAGAGGAACAAATCATTCCTTATAAGGGTGTGCAAATCTCTCTCTACTAGATGTGCTTTAAAACTATGAGGCTGACGACAATATTTAATGGGTCAAAGCGGATAATATCTACTGACGATGGACTGGAGCTATTACATAAATGAACTGTATTTGATGGTTGTCAATTTGAGCGTATATCAAAGATGTATATTTAGTGGAAGAGATTGGAGTTTGAATTTTCTTGTATTAAATATTATTGAATTAAAAGAAGTCATATTATTAAGTAAAAAAATAAAATAATAAAAATATATTCTTAAATTACTAAAATTATTATTTAAATGAAATGAAAAACAGCATCAAGTAATTTAATCAAACAAATTACTAAAATTAAAAAGAAAAGAAGTTTTCGAGAAATTAATTAATGAACATTTATTCCCTAAACAAATTAATAAATGAACATTAGTGTATGGCTTGTTGGTCAATCGCGCAACATTAGGAATCTAACTGCCCGAAAAATATCCGATCTCTGCCCGCAGTCAGTATTACAACTTTCCGTACTGGCACGTTCAGCTTCTCTCTGTTTTCCCGATTTCAGGCTTCTCCATTTCCCCCTTTTGGGACCCGATAGTATATAGTGATGGACCTGATGGACCTCTTTGTATTCTGTGGCAGTGGCCTCAATTTCTGATTGAAGAGCGTCTTTAATGGAGGTCAGAGGCTGCGGCAGGGACCTCTGCTGAGTTGCTTCTGCTCTCTACTGAGCGATTTCAACAGAGGAAGAACATGGGTCAGGGGCTGAGTTGCAGTGCGAGTCATGAGAATGGATTGTTTAGTGCTGTCCAGTGCGGAGATTTGGAAATCGTTCAAGTTTTGCTGAAGAACGAACCGTCTCTGTTGCATAATACCACTCTCTATGATCGTCAGTCTCCGCTTCATATTGCCGCTGCTAATGGCCAGATCGAGGTGTGTTCTTGTGTTTTTCTTGTTGTTTGATTTCGATTTTGTTTGATTTCGATTTCGTTTGATTTTGTTTCGTTTTGGTGCATATGTTGAGAGATTAGGGGGTATTGAATGTGGTTGATTGAGCTGTTTCTGATGAGGACTCTGTTTTTTGTGTGTTTTGTTTTATCATTATTAGATCCTCTCTTTGCTCTTGGAACGATTTTCCAATCCGGATTTGTTGAATCGTCACAAGCAGGTGGGGTTTCTTATTCTAATTTGAATTTTTCAGTTACTTTCAAATGATTTCTTCTCAGTTCTCAGTGGATTTTGATTCTTGAATGCGAACGTTTCTTTCAGACTCCGCTCATGTTGGCAGCAATGCATGGAAAGATCTCCTGTGTGAAGAAGCTCCTTGAAGTTGGAGCAAATGTATAAATTCCCATTTCTTTTGCTGTTTACAAAAGCTTGATTCGAAACACTAATTTGGATATGAATCTTCTCAGATTTTAAAGTTTGACTCCCTTCACGGGCGGACTTGCTTGCATTATGCTGCTCATTATGGCCATTTTGATTGCTTAGGAGCCATTCTTTCTGCTGCTCAATCAAGCCCTGTTTCTGCTTCTTGGTATTTGTCCATCTCTTTAAAGTACCCATTAGCTTTTCAGGTGAACTCATCGATTAACTTATTGTGAAATAGGGGATTTGTACGATTTGTGAATATTAGAGATGGCAAGGGAGCAACCCCTTTGCATTTGGCAGCTCGTCAAAGACGACCTGAATGCATTCATATTCTGTTGGATAATGGAGCTCTTGTTAGTGCTTCAACTGGTGGCTATGGGTATGTTTCTAAATCAAGTAGTTTTTTAGCTTCCTTTCGTGTAAAGATGGATTTGAAAAGAAAAAAAATTCTATGAACAGATGCCAAGGAAGCACACCCCTTCATTTAGCAGCTCGTGGAGGGTCCTTGGATTGCATCAGGGAGTTGTTGGCTTGGGGGGCCGATCGCCTTCAGAGAGATTCCACTGGGTATCATCAAAATACCAATTTACATCATAACCTTGTTTTAGCTGCACATAATCAACGAAACACCCTTTATAACGGTGTCAAAACCTTTCTCTAGCAGACGCGTTTTGAAGCCTTGAGGGGAAAGCCCAAAGAGGACAATATCTGTTAGCGGTGAGCTTAGGCCGTTACAGATTAAGCTAATTAATGTGTCTTTCTCTCTGTTTACAGGAGAATTCCTTATGTAATTGCTATGAAGCACAGACATGGAACCTGTGCAGCCTTGCTGAATCCTTCATCCACTGAGCCACTTGTTTGGCCATCGCCCTTGAAGTTTATCAATGAGCTTCATCAAGAAGCAAAGGCTTTATTAGAACAGGCATTAATGGAGGCCAACAGGGAGAGGGAGAAGAGCATCTTGAAGGCAACTCCTGACACAGTGGTTGACAATTTGTCTGAGGTAATCAAGAATTCCTTTAACTTTTAGAGTAGATTTTAAACACGGCAGCCATCGGGCATTCGAAACGTCGTGGGCTACTTTGATTCGCACTATAAAGTTGAGTTTAAATCGAAGATTTTCGAGTAAGTATCATGATTCAAAGTTTTCATGGTGATTGATTGTTATGGTTTTGAAGCTTTTGGAACTCCCCATCTGCTTGTCACTATTAGTGGCATTGCATTCCTAATTTGGCAGAATTCACTTTATTTCTGAAAGCATCTCTGATGTAATGTAGACTTCTCATTTGTTTCTTGGAGAGCTTTTTCAACTTACACTCTTAGGAGACACGTGATGAATGGTCCCATTATCTGCACCTTCAATTATCAGTTCTCTTCACTTACTGAGCTTTTGAACAATTATTAGCATTGCTTTGCTTGCTATGGTTCTTGCAGATCAGTGATGGAGATGCAGAGCTATGCACCATTTGCTTTGAACAAGCTCCCAAAATTGAAGTTCAAAGCTGTGGCCATGTCATGTGTGCTCAATGCACCCTTTCCCTTTGCTGCCACAGCAAGCCAAATCCGTCCACAGCCTGCATAACACCCCCAGTTTGCCCGTTTTGCCGAAGCAACATTATTCGTTTGGTCATCGCCAAGACGAAAACAATGGAGGAAGTTGATGATCATGAAACTAATAGCCCATCCAAGCAGAGAAAGGGAAGGAAGGGTGTGAACTTGAGTGAGGGTGATAGTAGCAGCTTGAAAGGGTTGTCGTCGATAACTGCTTTCGGGAAGATGAATGGTGGCCGTGGCTCTGGACGGATAGCTGCCGCAGACGATGATCAATCAGTTGATAAGATAAGCTTGGTTAGTAGGTGAAAATGGCAAATCATACCATCTTTTTGATCAATCAAGCTCCCTTTTACCCTTTCTCGCATTGCATAAAGATCAAAGTATTCAATGACTTGAATTTGGTGTTGGGTCCCATCAATAAATAATATAAGAAGGAAAAAATAATAAATAAATAAATAAAGTCCATGTTTTCTTATAGAATAGGGAAAAGGAGAGATATTAAGCAAAGAAGTTGGTGGTGAGTATTGTCTTTGTGGGTCAAGTTTTTGTAATTTGATTTCTTTATTTATTATTTATTTAAAAGAATGAAAAATATCCAAATTCTTGAATGGATGGAAGGAGTGAAGGCACGTGGCTTAGGGGGGGTCACGTGATGATGTCTCTCATTAAATAAATAATTTGGATAAGTTTTATTATATTTATGACGTCTGACTTCGACACGTGGAGGAGGTGGAGGAAAGGCTTTGAGATCAAGACGTTCAACTCTGACTTGTAATTTTTTTCCGCGATTTGTTTATCAGAGCAATTACGAATTTTTTTCATTTACTATTAAAATAAAATATTATTATTATTATTATTTAAACTATATATGCATGAAAAGCCGGATCCAGTTTTGGGTGATTGATTGGTTTATTTATTTATTGAATTATTAGCATATTAATTATACTAATAATTTGTCAATACGTTAAAATATTTTAAAAAATAATTATATATATATATACACGAAATTAATGAGAATTATTAAGAGTATTAATGCTAATTTTTAAAATTTCAAAAAGGTTTAACTATAGTTTTTTAAAAAAACACTCTTAAAATTAGGTTTATTAAGTGTAAAACGTGATTAGGACTTGACAACCAAAACATTTTTTTTTTAATTTTTTTTGTTTTTTTTTTTAATATCATTTATTTAGACCATTTTAAAAAGAAACAGTTGCTTAGACAACGTCACGTCCCAATTCTAATTCTAATTGCGTTTTCAACCAAAAAAGGGTTTAATTCAATTTTAAATTGACAAAAACCTAATCTAATTTGACTATATATATATATATATATATATATATATATATATATATATATATATATATATATATATATATATATATGATTATTGCATTTTACTCTATATTTTAAGATATCCTTAGCTATCGAGAAACGTCCCTTCTTTCGGTATGATTGTCCTGTCAAATTAAAGACCAAATGATCGAACCCAACCTAACGTCATGTCTAATAATTTAATACATTTATCCATTGAATTATGCTTATGTTTGTATCTGGTGGTTAGACGGAGTGTACACAACGATTAGTAAGAAGATATAACGAACGCTTAACGAATTCCACGAGAAATTGAAGAAAGAAAGAAAGGCTCACTGTAAATTGAGATCATTATTTGTTTCAAAAGGCAAGAAATTCAATCAATATCAAAGCAAGTTCAGTGTCCACAAACCCAAGAACAAAGCAAAGCAATTCCATGGTCATTTGGTGGTTCAGTTCCGCCGTTTCTCCCAGTTTGAGCATCTGAACCAAGGCTAGGTTGAGGAGGAGCCACACAGCCATTGATGAATAAGGAGTTTGGTTCTGGAGCATACTGAGCTAATTCCATTTCATCTCCTCCATACATCATTACACTTTGATTTCTCCTGTTTTCGTCTGCTGCTCTTCTTTCTTCTTCTAAGAATTGGCCTAACGACGGGCCGTTGTAGACGCTATCTGCGTCGGTGTTGTCCCTCGAGCATAACGAGAAAAGCCATGTTCTTGATCTGGTATTGCTCCTCTTGTTCTTTGTGCTCTCTGTTCTTCTTCCTCTGATTGATCTTCTTGAGAGCTCCAAAATGTTTGAAACTCCTATTAGACTCCCTAGTGTGATGCTTTTGTCATGGAAGAATGATCCTGTCGACTGCAACATTAACGAATGGCACGACGATGTAAGATCGATAGTCACGAGTCATAATCGTGGCTATTCAAATTTGGTAACAAAATTGTTGACCTCTTTCGACAATCAGATGTTGAGTTAAGGACATAAAATGTTAGGAACCACGACCTTCTACTATGGTATGATATTGTCTACCCACCCTGAGGTCTATAGAGCCCTCGAACAGCCTCCCCTTAAATCAAGGCTCGACTCCTTCTCTGGAGTTGTCAAACAAAGTACACTGTTTGTTCGACAATTGAATCACTTTTGACTACACTTTAAGGCTCACAACCTCTTTGTTCAACATTTGAGGATTCTATTGACATAACTAAGTTAAGACCATAACTCTGATACCATGTTAGGAACCACGACCCTCCACAATAGTATGATATTGTCTAGTCACCCTAAAGTATATGGAGCCCTTGAACAACCTCCCTTAAACGAGGCTCGACTCCTTCTCTAGAGCCCTCTGAACAAAGTACACAATTTTTTCGACACTTGAGTCACTTTTGACTATACCTTTGAGACTCACAGCCTCTTTGTTCGACATTTGAGGATTCTATTGACATGACTAAGTTAAGAGCATGACTCTAATACCATGTTAGGAACTAAACCCGTAACCCATGATCAACCTCTTAATTAACCGACGTAAGACTCCTCTCCCAACAATCCTCACCACATGGGATGCCTCTGCTACTACCATAAACAACTTTGAATCACTTAACTCAGCATTATGGCTTCACAAAAACAGGACCCAATGAACTAAACAAGCAATCAAAAGATCAACAATCACTTATTTGCTACTCCATCCACATTACTTTCAAAGACTTTCATGCATTAAGAGATATAAACACAAAGAACAAGACTAAACAGTAACATTCCCAGATCTGATAATCACTGTTCTGAAAACACAAGAACAGTAAGAAATACACTGACCTCAGTGTCCAAATCAGATGAAGAATCAGTGAATGAAATAGGAGAAGCCGTGATCAAAGTGTTGAAAGACAGTGATCCCAAATAGTCCCTGTTTCCAGGTACCCCAACTCTTAGATTCAAAGGCTGTAAACCAAGAGGCCATCCCTCTCCCTTCAATCAACATCAACAACAAATCATTCCAAAACTACAAAACCAATCCGATCAAACAAAACCCCATAACAGAGAGATCCACATGAAGAATCCAAATGAAATACCTGTTGAGCCATACTCGGACTTGATTATTGAAGAATCCGATATCATTTCAGACACAGAGGCCTTGTCATTTCCTTCTCTACTGATGAATTAGCGAAGAAATCAATATGAGATTTGGATGAACAGAGACGAAATCGGGTTGGTTTCATGGATTAGGGGATTTTGGAGGCGGTTAGAGAAAGCAAGTTCAAATGGGTCAAAAGGGAAGGAAAGGGCTTAGGATTATTACCCATTTGGAAGCATTTTTCTGTTGCTTTTCTTTTGATTCGCTTTCGCTTTCTTTTTCTTTTTCCTCGTCTCTTGGTTTTGTAGGAATCGTTTCTTTTGGCATAATATTATCGAAGAAAGCAAAGCCCCAATTTCAGAAACTGTCTCCCTGGATTTTACGGTTTTGCCCCTCATGATTTGGTAGAAGGTGGACGGTACAGGGGTAGATTAGGAAAGAAAATTTGGCGTCGCTTTACCCCATGATGATCGGGCAGATTAGAGAAGGGTACTCACTGTAATTGAGTTCACTTTTAAAACTTTTCATTTTATTAAATTCAACCCTAATCTTATGCAAATTATGAAATTAACCCCACCAATATTTTTTAATTATTTATTTATATTTTAAAAATAAATTATGTCATTTCAGACAAAATATATATATATAAACTTTAATGTCAATATAAACGTAAGTTTAACAACAAAATACCTATATTAATAATAATTACAATAATGAAATCAAAATTTTAAAGATAATGATGAATAATTGTATTTTTTTTTTTTGAAAATTACGTAAATTTGTGTTTATTTTTTTCAACAATTTAAAATTGGAATAATTAAATTTGTGACTTGCAAAATAAAAAAAAAAATTATATATTTTTATGGTACTTGTCACATCATCTCCGAATGAATAATAGATGAAATCATATATTTTTACGAGAACTTTTTAATATTTCTTATAAATTAGGTTAAAGATGAATCAAACCAGATGGAACTAAGATGTCATGAGTTGTGGACACATCTTCAATTAGTCTCTCAATCATGCTGACTCTTAGCCTATTGAGCTTCAATTCCTTGACCCGGGTCCTTATACGATGACCCAAATTTTGTTAGGCTTCTTCCAATAAGTTTTAGTTTTGAATGGGTTCATTTCGTCTAAAATTATCCCATTGTTAAATTAATAAGGTAAATAATTGCAAATATAGTATTTGAATTTTAATTCATTGTTTTTTCTGACAATAATAAGATCATCTTTTACCTTTTTGTAATAACTTTTTATTTAATTAACTGATGATTATCTGAAAATTAATTTAAATTGTACTGTGGGCTTTTACAAGATTTGCAAGGCCCAAGTTACTCATATACTGGGCCAAGGTCCAATGGATCGAATGTCGGAGCCCATTAACAGTTGAATTTTAAAATATTTCCTTATTAACAACTTTTTAAATTACAATCCACTAAATTTGCTTATGTATTGAATTTTAAAATATTTAAAATCAGTTTTTATATCTGAACATCACGTTTAGCAATATAAAACCATATATTAATTAATGTTTTAAAATTAATTTAAATCCGACAAAGATAATTTTAATTATATCTAAAATATTTGTTATCCACACATTATCTTAAAACAATGAAGATTTAGAATATTTAATGGAAAATTTAAAAAAAAAAATGCTAATGGAATTGAAAACCCATGCAGTTTGCATTAAATAATAAAATTACAGGAACAACTACACGACAACAAATTCAAAAGAAACGTCGTCGTTTCACCTTCTTAACAATCCTACCGCCATAAAGCTGATTCGAAGGAAACAGCAGCTCCAAATCAACCTCCATTTCGCGGAAGAGACAATTATGCGACATAAAGATCGACCGGCCAACACCGGCCTTCCGTTTCGCCGACGGCAACCTCCTGGGTTTTCTCGGTGGCGGAGGACACTGAAGAACCACTGCAGGCTCCAAAGATCTCGGAGTCTTGACGAAATCATCCCGACAATCTTCTTCTTCTTCCTCGTCCTCGTGTCGAAAACAAGAACTCTGCAACTTTAGCTCCAAAGTGGAGAGTAAAATCTCAAACTTGTCTTCCTTTTGGGGATGATGCTCCATTATGGGTCTAATCAAAATTTTAAAATCAGACTATTTTATGATAATGATTTTGATTAGTGCTTAATTGGATATTTATAGAGAGAGGAAGGGTAGAAGGTTCGGAGGTTGAAATCACCCACCAAAATCATGTGAAGAATCCAAACCAAAATACAACCAATTATAAACTAATTCACCACTTATTTAATTATTATTTCTTTTCTTGAAAATGATAGTAATGAACACTTTTCAATTAATAAGGTTGGTTCGGTCTCTACCACATTAGGTAGGTCGACATACGTCTTCTCTGTTCCTTAAACCTTCGTGGGCATTGTTGTATTTGTTGGATGATGAAAGTCTCACATCGGTTAATTTAAGGAATGGTCATGGGTTTATAATCTAAGAATACACTCTCCATTGGCATGAGGCCTTTTGGGAAGCCCAAAGCAAAACCATGAAAGCTTATGCTCAAAGTGGACAATATCATACCATTGTGGAGAGTCGTGTTCGTCTAACAGTATTTTCCTTGGATCTTCCCTCTTTTAGAAGAATATCATACCATTGTAGAGAGTCGTGTTCGTCTAACAGTATCTTCCCTCTTTTAGAAGAATATCATACCATTGTAGAGAGTCGTGTTCGTCTAACAGTATTTGCCTTGGATCTTCCCTCTTTTAGAAGAAGGTGAAGCGAGCTTGCCTAACAAGGACTATATACCCTAAAATAGTCCGAGGTTTTATTAATACATCTTAATTTTTAAAATTTTAAAAATTTTAAAATAGCATCAAAACAATTAACCAGCATAAAATAAAAAGTTATTGTCTGCCCCTCATTGATTATCTATGCTCGGATAGATATATTATTTTATTAATTTAATTTTTAAAAAAATGGTAAATAATATAATACACGAGGAGAGGGACCCACAGAAATCCTAATTGGGATTGCTTCAGTTTCACTAAAAGCAATAAGAACAATCAGCAGCGAAGAATTTGGCCAAAATTTGGCGCTGCCTTTTTTTTTCTTTTTTTTTTTTTTTCATTTATTTTCGGATAATTTTTATTTTTTTAAAATATTTATGGAGGCCCCCTTAGGCCTCAAATTTCCGGATTATTAATTAAACGGTCCTGTTAAAGTGGATTAGTTGGCTAATCAAATCGCCCTTTCCATTTTACTTACCTACCCTTAATTTTTTTTATTATTATTATTATTTATTTATCCCTCACTTTCTTAAAATAGAAAAATCCAATATTTTCAAATAAAATAATAGCCATATAATTTAAGCGGTTAAGATTTATTAATGTTATCTAATTTTAGTTAGTGTGTTTTTAACTGTTTTTAATTTTCAAAATATTTATTTATTTATTTTTAAATTAAAATGAATGATTAACATAATAATATCATACTTAATTAGGTCCAATTATTTATTTATTGAGATAGTGACGTGGCACCCAACATGTACCTTTTAGAATTTGGAAATAATTATGAATAATCATTTCAGTATTGAAAAAACTTTTCAAATAATATATATAGAAAATAAATTATTATTATTTTTACAAGTTGAATCAAAATTCACGGAAAAGATACTTTATAAAAAAATATATATAATATAATATTTCAAGTCGTTTCGAAATTTAATGCACATTTTTAGTTTCAATATTTCTGAAAATATATAGATTAAATTTAAATATTTAAAAATATAGAGATTAAAATGAAATGAGTTTTAATTTTTATTTTTTAATTTTTTTTTGTTTTAAAAATTATAATGGAATAATTTGGGAAAAATATAGAAATTTATCTTGAATTTAAAGTATGGGCCAAAATGGGCTTTTTTTTTTAATCAGGCGGGTCCGAAATAATCGCGGAGAATAATGGGCCGGGCCTTGCTGTTGAATGGAGCAAGTCCACTCGTATCGATGAAAGCACTACAAAACAGCCTGTATTATCGGGAATCCATATCTTCATGACACGTGTCATTTGTCAGCTTTGATCGCGTCAATGATCATCATCTTATTAACGGCACAGATCTGTCTTCAGCTGAGTGTTTATTTAAATCCGCATTTCCATTTTGCATTGCTTCATATTTCTGCGTTTACCGTCTTCGAACGTAAAGGAGTGCAGCTCGGATCACAGCCACTTTCTTTCTCACCTTATTAGCGCTTTCGTTAATCTTTCCGGTACGATGCGATTTTCTTCCGCTTTCTGTTGTTTTTCTGAGAAAAATGCCTGTAATGTGATTCTTTGTAGCGCTAAGTGGCATTGTTTTGATGATGGTGATGTTGTTGTTGTTGCTTATTCTTAGATTGTTGTTCGGATCACATTGTATGAAGGATCAGTAAATCAAACTCTGATTCCTATCTATTATAATGTACAAATCCATGCAGTTGCAAATTTTGTTGTTCTTCCGATTTTGATTTTGGTCTTCTTTGTCTTTACGATTGTTTATATGAGCGTTTTCTTTCATTTTCATTTGGAGATGAAAGTAGGAGAGTGTTTCTGTTTTTTTTTTTTTTTTAATCATTGCATTTGTTTCGATTAGACCGAAAATTACTGTGAATCAGTTTCATCATCGTTCTTTTGTATACATTTTTTTCGAAAAAAGGAAGATAAAAGGTTATCTATGGGAAAATTTAGCAGATCGTGATCTTTCTGGCTGATTAATGATGTGTTTGACATGTTTAATTATTTTGTGCTTAAATTTTTAATGGCAAATAAATCGTTTAGTCCTGATTTTCCTCTCTCTTTCTAAGTCTAGTTTATTGTTCTGAATGTTTTTTTTAATGTTTAATCGAAGATGGCAGAAGGAGAGGATATCCAGCCACTCGTCTGTGACAACGGAACTGGAATGGTTAAGGTATGTCTCTGCACACTTCATATATTCTGATGTATGTCCGTCTGTTAGGGAGATCTTTGATTTTCAATTGATATGGTCAATTTTAGGCTGGCTTTGCTGGAGATGATGCTCCAAGGGCCGTGTTCCCTAGTATAGTAGGTCGACCAAGGCATACTGGTGTGATGGTTGGTATGGGCCAAAAGGATGCGTATGTTGGGGATGAGGCTCAGTCCAAACGAGGTATATTGACTTTGAAATATCCTATAGAGCATGGTATCGTGAGCAATTGGGATGACATGGAGAAAATTTGGCATCATACCTTCTACAATGAACTCCGAGTGGCTCCTGAAGAGCACCCTGTCCTACTCACTGAAGCCCCTCTGAATCCTAAGGCAAATCGTGAAAAAATGACCCAAATCATGTTCGAGACCTTCAACGCTCCTGCCATGTATGTTGCCATTCAGGCTGTTCTTTCGCTCTATGCTAGTGGACGCACAACTGGTAAGCAGATTGATTAGACGAGCTTTGATTTCATCGAGCGAATTTACAGAATAATTTTTAACTTTTTTCCATTATCTGGTTCAAATTTCCTCCAGGTATTGTTATGGATTCTGGTGATGGTGTCAGTCATACTGTCCCAATTTATGAGGGATATGCTCTCCCCCATGCCATTCTTCGTCTCGACCTTGCTGGCCGTGATCTCACTGATGCCCTTATGAAAATCTTGACTGAACGTGGGTACTCCTTCACCACCTCAGCAGAGCGCGAAATTGTGAGAGATGTGAAGGAAAAACTAGCATACATTGCCCTCGATTACGAGCAAGAACTTGAAACTTCCAAAACTGGTTCATCTGTTGAGAAGAGTTATGAACTTCCAGATGGGCAGATTATCACAATCGGTGCAGAACGTTTCCGATGCCCTGAAGTTCTTTTCCAGCCTTCAATGATTGGAATGGAAGCTGCAGGCATCCACGAAACAACCTATAACTCCATCATGAAATGCGACGTTGATATCAGAAAGGATCTGTATGGAAACATTGTTCTTAGTGGAGGAACAACCATGTTCCCAGGCATTGCTGATCGAATGAGCAAAGAAATAACTGCATTAGCCCCAAGCAGCATGAAAATTAAGGTGGTAGCTCCTCCTGAAAGAAAGTACAGTGTCTGGATTGGTGGCTCCATTCTAGCCTCACTCAGCACGTTTCAGCAGGTATGTCTAGCGTTGATCATCATTGATAAACACATTTACTTACTATATCATATCAAATCAGTTAATCATTTAAAAACGGACTGCAGATGTGGATTGCAAAGGCCGAGTATGATGAGTCTGGCCCATCCATTGTGCACAGGAAATGCTTCTGATTTTCCCAGCCAAACCTGCTGCAACCAACCAGTACGACTGCATTTTGTTTTGTTTTCCTAAATTTTTTCGGTATTTATTTATTTATTTAAACTCATCACTTCATAAAAGCGATATGATATCGCTTATTGATATAGAATTTTCCGGCCGCTGTGCCGTTATGCAGCCTTGGTTTTTTTTTTTTTTTTGTCTCTCTCTTGAATTATTAGTTGAAAATAATAGAAATTAATCAAATTAATTTTAATAACATATAGTATCAATTAATGAAAAAAAAATAATAAATTTATAAATATTCGATGGGCATAAGCGTAAGCAGTTTGGTCTGACAGCGACATCTGCATGCAATCCATTGGGTGCCAAATATATTTAAAATAATAAAATAACATTTAAATCCTAAAGAATTATCCTCGAATATTCTTCCCTTTTTCTTTTATTATATTCCACACCCAATTCACGTACTCATCAAAAAAAATTTAAAAATTATATATATAAGATGCAAAATAATTATTAATTTGTGTTTGATATCTAAAAATAATTATTTTATAATGAATTTGTTATTTTATAATATAAACTCAAAATTAATAAATATTTTTGTGCTTTAATTTTTTTTTAGCTTGAATAATGGATAATAAATTAAAGATAATTTTCATCTCCACAAATTGCATTATGATCCAACAGTTGGCTAATTTGACTATGAATTTCCACGTTTATTTTCCTAATCAATCATTAGTGTTTCTAATCCAATCAGAACAGTCAGATTCTTTTTTTTTTCTTCTAAATATTTATTTTAAATAAGTTGTTACCTCTGGACCAATAGCAGAAAAGTGTATTTTATTTTATTTTATTTTATTTTATTTTGTAGTTTATGGCAATTGGTAAACATAAAAAAAATAATTTCTCGCTCCATTTCCATTAATGTTCATCCATCTCCCTTTTTTAATTATTTATTGTAAAAATAATTATTAAACAAAATTTTATCCCATTTATATATAACTTCTACTAATAAGTAGTAAAAATAAATAAATAAATAAATAAAACTACCCAAGATATATATATTTATAGAAAATATGATAAAATTATATTTTTTAGACAAAAAGTTCTAAAAAAAAAAGTTTCACCACTTTATCTTTCTTATGTGTTTGACGGGAAGAACTGCAAGATTCCAACAATAATGGAGGAAGGGAAGATCATTGATTCTGTGGCTAATTTTTTGCACTGCGTCTCAGATTCAAATCCCATCAAAATCACTGGTTAAAGAGATTCTTGCAGTGACCTTAAGTAGCCTCAATTCTGTCTTCTTCCATGGAGACGGCAACGAAAGGGCCAGAAGAAGAAGAAGAAGAAGAAGAAGAGTCTGCAATTGGCGAGGAGCGTTAATGGCGGACTGATTTTCAGACGAAAACGAAGAAGAATAGAAAAAGCCCTAAATTCTTATGGTTGGGTCGATGTCAAGTCTGCGCAAAAGTCAAGGGTTGTTTGGAATAAAGCAGCAGAAAAGGAATTATTCCCTTCAGAGAGTATAAAGAAAGGCGTAAGGCAAATCTCAGTTATAGGTGTTTCGGAGAGATAAACGCGCCACATGCCTTCCTTTTCCCCCACATCCCGTCGTTTGCCTCTGTTTTCGCCTCTGGCTTCTGATCGGAGTTGATGGAGCTCTTGAATCCGCCATATCCTCCTCATCTTCCTTCTTCTCTTAACGCCTTTCATGGCTTCTATTCGTCTTCGTCTTTGCTTCTTCCGATGGTGATCCCTCGTTTGCGTGGCGTCGTCGAAGAAGCTTCTTGCGACGACGACGACGGCGCTGATTTTGTTTATGTGGCTATTGGCAAATCAGTTGAGAAGTCTGCAAGTTTGCTTCGTTGGACATTCCGTCGCTTTCGTGATAAACAAATTCGTCTCCTCCATGTTCATCAGCTCTCTTCTGTCATTCCCACGCTACGTGAGTTTCTTCTTGATTCTATGTTATTTCTTCAGAACTTGCTAATTCCGGATCCAAATCGTTGCCCAATTGCAGTTTCCTTGTGATTCAAATCGTAATTGGGATTTGAAATGATTTGTTCATTTACTCTAGGCTTGCCATTGTATAACCATGGTGCGTTAATTTCAATGCAGTAGGGAAGCTACCTGCAAGCCAGGCGAATACAGATGTGGTGGCTGCATACAGGAAGAAGGAGTGGGAACAAACTTCTCGGGTTCTTGAAAACTACTTGGGATTTTGCCATAGAACCAAGGTCTGATTTAAACGTTTTTGCTTTATTTTATGTGGAATTGCGAAGCTGAAAGACTTCTAGTTCTTAAATATTAGTTCAAAATGGCTAAATCTTAAGCTATTTAGCTTCCATGTCTTCTGGTGCTCTCCATTGACTATGCTTTAAGATACATAATAACATCCTAGCTTCCACATGCTTGTGCATACCATAATCTATATGTGCATATGAGTTTTAGAAGGTATCATCTTTGTGCTTTTTTATTTCTTCATACAACGATTGGCTCAAACCTCATTGTATGTAGCCACTTATTCGAGATTTTAAAATCTTCTGAATTTCGTAATACTCATGTTAGTTGAACACGACTCTCCACAATGGTATGTTATTGTCCACTTTGAGCATAAGCTCTCATGGTTTTGCTTTGGGCTTCCCCAAAATGCCTCATACCAATGGAGATAGTATTTCTTGATTATAAACCCATGATCATTCCCTAAATTAGCCGATGTGGGACTTTCATCCAACAATGTTATAGGGTTGAGTTGTGCATAAGCTAGCTTGGCTACTTAGGGTATTAAAAGAAAGAAATCATAAAAATGATCTATGTTCATCCATCATAGTTTTTGAGTTATACAAATCTCCTAATTGTATGCTTCAAAGGCTGATACCTTACCTCAATTGTGAGTGAGAATCCCAATTTTGATGAGATTATCTTTCCTTTTGTCTTAATGGGTAGGAGTATTTCTTGTGTTCTTAGGACTTTCAATGTCGTCATTCATACCTCCAACTGAGACAGCAACTTGGAAAAACATAATTGAACATACTAGTTGGCATCATGGAACTAAATTACTTCGTTCTCATTTATTCTTTACTGGGTTATCTCATTTAGGAGTTACCTTTACAGGTCAAAGCTGGTATTGTTCTAATGGAAGCTGAACAAGTTCACACAGGGATAGTAGATTTGGTTAACAAATTCAAAGTTAGGAAGCTTGTCATGGGGACCATGGCGGATAGGTAAGTTGAGCATTGATCATTTGTTTTCACCCGATTCGGCCTTTTTTCTTAGAATTCATACTATATTGCTCTAGATCATCTGTTCTTCGTTAATGTTTAATGCAGTTGTGTGAAAGTGAAAGTAAAGAAGAGCTCTAGTAAAGCAGATTATGCTGCCAGAAATATCCCCTTTCCATGTGAGATATGGTTTGTCAACAAAGGGAAGCATGTATGGACCAGAGAAGCTGTTGAAGGCTCAAGTTCTGCTTCATCATTGTTTCTTCCCGAGCTGGCTATCACAGAAAACTTTCCTGCTCAGTCATCTCTGAATGATGAGAGTCACTCATTCAACCTGGAAGATTCTCAATCTAGTTCTGCTAATGCTATAATTGAAGGCTTAAACTGCATTAACAAGGAACCCTTTGATGTAGAAGGCGTTGTGTCGAGTTCTTCGGATAGATACTTTCCCTGCCCTCTGCAGATTTCTTCCAGTCCTGCTAGCTCAAGCTCTGATTCAGGACATTCATCAGTTGAAGGGAGAGAGTCAACAAGCTCTGATTCAAGGGTTGAGGAAAGGGGTTTATATGGTGAACTTAAAGATGCCGTTATAGAAGCAGAGGCATCAAGGAATGAAGCAATTGAGATGCATTGGATGTGTAGAAAGATGGAACAAAGTGCTGCAGAATCCATAAAAAAGGTAACCATAATTTTTATGCATTGTGTATGAACTTACTTCTAGGATGCCCTGTCATAAGAATTTAGTTACTCTATCAATCTAAGATAATCTTTTGTTTACTTTTAGTTCAAGGTCTTCAAATGTGTCAATGAACATGAAATTGATCTTAGGAAAGAGATTGAGAGAATGTTGAGGACTACCATTGAGAAGAAAGAAACTCTCTCAGAAGAAAGAACTGAAATACTTGAGGAGCTAGAGAGGACATTGAAAACTCTTACTCTTCTTGACACTCAGACACGGCAAGTAACTCGAAAGCATGAAGAAGCCATTACAGAACTCAAAATTATACAAGCTTCCATTGCAGCTCTCAGGAAGGAAAAGCAGACGATTCAAAGCCAAAAGATAGATGCTCTGAATTGGCTGTCCAAATGGAAACATGAGAAGGCTGCTTCTGCAAATTATAACAGATCGATCGGATTTGTGGAGAATCAAACTCAGCTGGCTGAATTTTCATTGTTGGAACTACAAACAGCCACATGTGGCTTCTCTGAAAGCTTCAAGATTGCTCAGGGAGGATATGGTTGTCTTTACAAGGGTGAAATGTTGGGTAAGACTGTTGCCATAAGGAAGCTGCATCCACATTATGTATTGGGTCCAGCTGAGTTTCAAAATGAGGTCAAATTTCTAAACCAGATATTAAAAGATCTATTCTTCTTTGTGTTTAAGGCTGATGATTCAAATTAGCCTCTCTTCTGCTTGCAGGTTGAAGTATTGGGTAAACTACAACATCCTCATTTGGTGACTTTGCTTGGTGTATGCACGGAAGCCTGCTCTTTGGTATACGAGTATTTTCCCCATGGGAACCTCCAAAATCACCTTTTCCCTAAAGGCAATACTCCTCCGCTGACATGGAAGACTCGAGCACGGATAATCGCTGAAATTGCAAGTGCCCTTTGCTTCTTGCACTCTTCAAAACCTGAAAACACTGTCCATGGGGATCTGAAGCCTGAAAACATTCTTTTGGATTCTGAATTCATCTCCAAGATCTGTGATTTTGGTATTTACAGGCTGATATCTGAAGACACACTGTACTGCCCAAGTTTTAGGAGAAGCACTGAACCAAAGGGTGCCTTTTCATATACAGATCCAGAGTGTCAGCGAGATGGAGTTCTCACGCCCAAGTCTGACGTTTATTCCTTTGGGCTGATCATTTTGCAGTTGCTCACAGGGAAACCAATAGTTGGATTAGTAGGTGAGTTGCGCAAGGCCATTTCATTTGGTCAACTCGAGTCCGTTTTAGACTTGTCTGCGGGAGAGTGGCCTATTGATGTTGCTAAGCGGTTCCTAGACATTGGTCTACAATGTTGTGAACTGAAGGGGAGTGATCGACCTGAGCTGACACCTAGTCTCGTGAGAGAATTAAAGCAACTGCATGTCTCAGAAGAGAGACCTGTGCCATCTTATTTCTTGTGCCCCATTCTTCAGGTTAGTGGTTTCTTATCTTTTTTCAAATGTGTGTATTTGTTTACCAATGATTTACAACATGCTAGAAAGTTCTTTCATGTTAAAATGGTTTTGAAATTTACTTTGGTAGTGAAAGCTAAAGCTAGTGCCCTTCATGTTTGAATCTCTTAGGAACAAAATCATGATTTTATGGGCTCACATATTGTAACAGCCCAAGCCTACTGCTAGTAGATATTGTCTTTTTGGGCATCCCTTTCTGGGCTTCCCCTCAATGTTTTAAAACTCGTATGCTAGGGAGAGGTTTCCACACCTTTGTAAGGAATGGTTTGCTCCCCTGTCCAACTAATGTGGAATTTCACAATCCACCCTCCTTGGGTCCCAGTGTTCTCGCTGGCACACCGCCCCATAACCTATCTCTGAAACCATTTGTAACAGCCCAAGCCTACTGCCAACAAATATTTTTCTCTTTGGATTTTTCCTTTGGGCTTCCCCTCACGGGTATAAAACGCGTATGCTAGGGAGAGATTTTCACACCCTTATAAGGAATGTTTCGTTTTCTTCTCTAACTCCACGTATATACTGGATTTGTTTCAGGAGATCATGCTGGATCCCCAAGTGGCTGCAGATGGTTTCACGTACGAAGGAGAAGCTATACGTGAATGGTTAAGCAATGGCCGGGAAACTTCTCCAATGACCAATTTGAAACTCAGCCACCCGCAGCTTACTCCAAATCATGCTGTGCGTCTTGCCATTCAAGATTGGCTTTCCAGAGTTTGACAATCCCACCTATCTAACAGGTCTGATTGGTGTATAATATGTTGTTTATATTATCACAAAGCTATGTCTATGTTCCTATGCCATCCTTCGTCAGTGTAGATACTTGAAATTTTGCAGAAATAAAATACATCTTTGCTCTGGTTTTTCCCCCTAAATTCTGGAGTATTACTTCCCAACCAAACAAGAATCATAAATAAGAGAGTCCGAAGGTTAAGGTGTCCTACAGCTGAGGTGCAAAGGAATCAGTAGACAGCTGAGTGCAGTTCAAAGGGCACTCAATCTCCTATATGTCAAAATTTAATGTCCCAAAATGAGAGAGAATGGAGGGTCTGCCCTTCACTCTTCATCTTCCCAACTGATATTTCCTTTGCATTTACTGATAGAATTCCAGAGGAGATAACAGTTGGGAGAATCATAACTAATCCATTTCCTATCTCAATCTCTACCTTACATTCTCATTTCCCCACGTGTCCTGTTGTACCTCGTTTGGGACCCACTGTTCTGTCGGACGGTGGCTGCCACTGTCTTGAGTTTTAATTGGTGGGTCTGTCTCTTCTTCACTCTGTTTTGGTCAACTTTGTCTGATTTATTACTCCAACTACATCAACGCATCCAACTCTATTAAATAAGTCAGTTGAGCTGATCAGCTCATATTTACTCTCTTCCTTTTTTGGGGTTCGAATTAAATTCCATACAAAATTTTCAAACTGCAACTACTCTGGTTGAAATGCAAAGGGAATTGATTGTTCTAAGCATTGTTTAACAGGTCAATTCCTTGAAAACATTGAATGTATTGATGTTTCAATGTTTCTTGATGAAATATGTTTCTGTAAATCATTGATCGGGAACGGTCTTTCGACTGGAACCCCTACGAACCGTCAGCTCATGCCATCGGAGATGGCCAGAAACAAATACTGAGAGATGACTGAGAGAAGACCCAGAAAGAGAACAGGAAGAAGAAGAAGAGAGGAGAGACCATTGTTCAAAAAGGAATATAAGATCAATTATTCAGAAATTACAAATTTTTCCTTCTTTGACAGTTTTTTCTTTTCTTTTTTTTATTAAAAAAGAACAAGCTTTTGCACTTTACATCTCCTTGCCACCAAGTAAACTGCAGAATTAAGTTCATGAGGCAATTCCAAGAACCTTAATCGCCGTTTCTTACAATGGTGATCAGGGAAAAAAGAGAAAAATGAACATAAAGAAAAAAGCCTGACCTTTTACTGAGTTCTTCTCTATATCATCTACCTGCTTCTTTCCACTATTTTATACACAGGATCTCCAGATCCTCCCTTCTAATGAAATTACAATGATCGATACATCGTCGTGGTACTTCCTCCGGTCACCCTGTGGTATTTTGAGTAACTCGTGGAAATCCATACCTGTATATAACCATATAGCCAAGTTCAGCATAGTGTTCATATTTTGAAAAGACGACAAGAGAGAAGCATTTAGGGTGGGTGTTGTTTTGTACCAGCTCTCTTTGCAGCCCGAAACAGCAGTAGTTCAACCAGATGTTGTGCCGGGTCTCCTTCGGGTTGCAAGGTGATGAAAAGTTCGACTTCCGAAACAGCTTCCTCGTTCGTGAAGTACTGGTAGAGTCCATCAGATGATAGTATCAAAAACCTGTCTTTTGGTCCCAATCTGTGGTGGTAGAGAGATGGTAGACAATTGATATATGGCGATCCCCCGACGTAGTTGATTCTGAACATTTCCAACAGTGCATTGTTCCATTTAGGCTGCTCATAAGAACAAAAATGACCAATGTTAATGCACAACTTTGCATCAGTCCAGGGTGAAGAAGATGATTCAGTTCTCAGTCCCTATGGCAAAGCAGCCAGTTCATTTAACAAGCATAACTCATGGGATCGACAGGCTGAATCGAGTCGAGATATTAAGATGCTTATCACTTTCATCAATGAATCAGTGGATAAGAATGATGAGACAAGTTCCATGCCTTGATTAAATGATAACAACTCGAACGAGTATAATCAACCAGGACGAAAAATGGTAGAGATACGAACATTCGCGGTCGAGATTAATGCAATTCAATTCATAACGAGCCAGACCAATTACGCATTCAAAAGTGCTTGAAAGGAACAATTCATATAAGAGCAAGGCATGGTATTTTGAAAAGATCACCAACCTGTTTGAGGAACCCAGCACCGAACGCCCGAGTAACCTTCAACGAGCCTTTCACACGGTCGTTCATCACGGCACCAGCATCATCAGGATGTTCATTTTTTATTCTCTGAACTTCCTGTAAACCAAATCACAAAAGAATTAAATCTTTCACATCATTTCAGAACAAAGCCTAAAGAACACTCAATCACCTCATCAACACTGGTGCTGTGATCCATGGAAAGCTGAAAAGCAGCAAGGTTAGCTGATGTGAATTGTCTATCTCCATCTAATGCTTCAATGTCATGAACTGGCTCTTCATTAATCCTCTCCAAATCCTGTTGAATCTTCCCGAGCCAATAATCGGGCTCCGCCTTCTGCGCTAAAACAGCTCGGCTATCGCCAACGTTCATCACATAAACATCATCTCCCTTCATAAGCATCACGAGCACACAAGAACCCATCAAAGCCAGTTCAGGATTTTCATCGAGCATCTTGTCTGCAATATCCAAATAGGCCTCCTCTGTTTTCTTCAATGCCTGGGACAAAGCTTTCAAAACATCCGAATGATTAATCGACCTCGAACCGTTCGACGACGCAGATCGATTCAACTGCTCCTTTAACCTCCGATCGAGCTCTAATCGTTCCTGATCCCATTCGCACTTCCATTTCCGCTGATTATCCTCCCATTTCTCAGAAGCTCCTTTGAACTTTCCTCTTGAATTCTTACCTTTTTTTCTCCTCGAATTTGATCCAGAATTCGCATCGCCACTAGCACAAGGATGATTCTCTTGTTCAACACACTGAGAACAAGCGTTAACCTGCGAACAATCTCTTGTTTCTGGACAAGGATGATTCTCAGATCGAACAGGGGAAGTTGCCGGAGCGGCGACTCCGGCAGAATCGAGCTTTTCATCCCATAACAAACCTTTAAGTTCCTTATGAACAAAGGAGTATAGATTCGATAAAAGGTAATCAGGAGCATCAGGACCGTTAAATCCATCGTAAATCCCGACGAAAACCCAACCATGTTCTTCCGAAACCACCACATGAACACGATCTTCCCCTGCTTTTCCTTGAGCCCACTGCAGATTTTGGCTCTCCATTGAATCATCGTCTTCCAAACTTCCCTCACTACTGAAATTTAAACTACTCACAGTCAAATTCTCATTATGTTTCTCGGGCATGACGATCCAATCGGGTTCTTTTACCGCTTTAATTGGAGCCACAATGGAATTTTGCCCTCGATAAATCGACTTCGAAATTACGCTTCTCAAAATCCGAATTAGCCGGCCTTTTCTCGATCCAGATCTGGAATTAAATCCTCCACCATGAGAGAAACTTCTCTGAAATTCGCAAGATGTAGAATTATCAAGAGGACCCGAAAAAATCCCCCGATCCAATGGACCCGACATAAACCCTCGTTCAATTGGACCCGATAAAAACCCTCTTTCCAAAGGACCCGAACTAGGGATTCCACTGAAATTACCCGGAATCGGACCCGAATTAATCATGTTTTTAGGGATCGGCTGCAAAGGAATTGAAGCGAAAGAAGTCGAACTCTCAAAAGCCGCCGCTCGATCAATGCTATTGTACGAATACAGATCAACAAGAGCCGTAGAAAGAGGCGTCGATGTATTGGCACTTACAGAGGCGCCGGAAATTGATCGGAAAGTGGTGGTTTCATCGGAATGAACTTTTGAAGACGACAGCCTCAAAGGATCCGGCCGGACATAGCAGAACGAGTGTCCAAGCCCTTCATCGAGTGGATTCGATAACAGAACAGAAATATCCGGCCGCCGCCTACCGTCGCTAATTCCGGTGAAGCAAACGCCGAGCTTCCCAATCCCGTTGCCCATCGGGATTTCTTTTATATAAAAAAAAAAAAAAATTGAAAACTTTAGAAACAAAATCGAATTTTTCAGTGACCAAAACAGCTAATGATATGGATATTTCATAGTGTCCACAGAGAGAAAAATGGAGAACAAACGGAAGACGAGTGGAAGATGAAGAAGAAGACGAGGCAGAAGAGAGAGAAAGAGAGACAAAGGCGTTGACTTTAGAGTAGCGATTGTTTGAAATAAGAAAAACGCCGTCTTGGTTTCAAATCTATAAAAATTAAAAATTAAAAATTTTAAAAAATAAAATAAAGTTTAAATTTCATTATTTTCCGTAGGGTGGGGCGTTGACTATAGTTGGTTGTTTAACTCGGACTCAAATATAGACAGCTTTCTTTAATTTAGCGTTGATAAATATAAATATAAATATATATTTTTTTAAATCCTTAACCTTCTCAAGTGGACAAGTGTTACACTCACGCGCGGGTGAAGTGGGCCCCATTTTAAAATCGACGACCCGAGTTTAATCCGCAGGAAACGTTTAGCACGCGTATAAATCGGCGAGTTGGATGAGGTGGCAATACAACAAGAAAGTAAAAAGTCAAACGGGAAAAATGAAATGAATACAAGTTTGCATGGAGAACCACGTCACCATCACCGTTGGATCAAAAACAATGGTTTGATGAAAATACTGGTTGACTGACACCTGTCAAGTTCCCACAGCATTCTTGTCTACGCCTTCTTCTCTGCCCCCTCCTGCAGCTAAATTTGACTTTTTTTTTCCTAATTAATTAAATCTGAAAATTGCAAATTATTAATTACTCTTATAAGTAAATAAAAATTTTAAAAATACTTTGCCTGTTTATTTTATTATTTTATTATTTTATTATTTATTATTTATTATTTATTATTTTGGAGTGTGTGTTGGGTTTGATTATTTATTGAATTTGGTGTGGTGGAGTGGTTGCCGGTTAGTAATTGCGTTGCATTTACTACAATTTGAGAGTATTAGGTAGCCTTGACTTAGCTTTTTTTTTCCTCCTAATTTTATTTTGAATTCCTATATTTTCCCATGTTTTTTATTATTTGTAATTTAAACGCAAATTTCATTTTGATTTCTAAATTTTATTTAAAAAAATCAAAATTTACCATTAAAAAGAAGAAATGAATAATGTGTAGGTTTGAATACCAT